GAAAATTAAAAGTCTTCTGCTGAACCAGAGCAGCGGCTCAGCTGCATTTCAGGAGAGTGCAGGGAACGAGACCCCTGCTAACACGCAGGAGGCACACAGGGCTGCCGCTGCTTCCTTCTGCCTAGGCCTCAGGCCACGGGCCAGTTCACATCATTTCTGCCTCAGCCTAAATCAGAAACATCACTGCAGAGGAGAGAAAAGACCCGAGTCAAATCATATCAATATGGTTTATTGACTGAACAGTTGGACCTCTTGGGAAAACAGCCTATTTTTCCCCCCTACGATCTAATGAAAAGTTTGTAACTCATTCCTTAAGTGACACCTCAGAAGGTGTTCACGAAGAAACAAAACGAACCCCAGAAACCTTGGAACACCTGTCTTTGGTCCCCAGACACAGCCGGCGGAAAGGCAGAGACAGAGTCCCAGAGCAGATGCCGGTCCTGAACTTCCCTGCCTCTGGCTCAGCAGAGGAGGAGAGCTTCCTGTGGAGTCCCAGGTGAGGGGGGAAGCCAGCGGCCACGGGAGGTCCCATTCTTGTTGGTAAATTGGAGGCAGAGGGAGAGCTTGGCTGGGCCCGGCTGATGGAACTTGCTCTGCAGACACCGTTCTGGCCCCCGACCTTCTAGCTCAGTGACTCAGCGCGAGTTGCTTCGTTTCCACTAGACCCTCCGTCTCCTACCTGAAAATGACAGCGCCCACCTCGCAGGACTGCTGTGAGAACTAAATGAGTCAAAACACAAAACAAAGGCTCTGCGAATGTCTGCTGGTATGATTGTCTGGACATCTTCAAGATTTGAAATAAGAGAGAACACATAACTCACTCTCAGCTGGGGATGGAGTGGACCCAAATTTGGTGAATGCTGAAGGCATTCTGCAGACAGCAGGAAATAATGAGGCCCTCACAGCTCTCCGGGGCCTCCTGCGGAGGGTAATCTAAAAACCTCAGGGCTGTGAATGCCTCTCCCACAAAAGCAGGACGTGCACAAGGGGATAAAAGAGAAAGCGCTTCCTGGATGTCCAGAATGGCGGGCCCGGCACTGAGCCTCCCCACAATGGGCCTCACGTCCCAGAATTCAGACTTGACGGGTTCAATTCACTTGGTCTCACACCCTGATGAAGGGCCGCTGTCACAGAGTTGGTGATTTTCACCCTCTCGGAGCTTATGGTCAGAATAAAATTCCAAATAATTGAAAAAAATGTAGCCCACCAGGTAACAGCATCTGGCAAATGACCTCTGTTTGCCCCGAGTTTCACCACTCGCCTGGGGATGGCGCACACGTGAGAAGAATCTGCGGCTGCTTTTGGAACAAAGAGAGCCGGCCTCCGGGAGGGAGAATGTTCGGATGGTGGCGTGACCAACAGAGTTTCGTAAACACATAAAACCGTGCACTGAATCCTGTTCTGTCAGAATTCAATGCTGAGAAATTTCCGTTACATATTTTATGCTATAATTGACCTGTGTACCAGTTTAAGAACACCACAATAGACAATTTCAATAATAACTACAATTGTGGGAAAGAATTGCTAGCGGACTGTATTGTGAACACTTTGCAAGCACAGCCTGTCTTATTTACTGTTTTTATGAGGAAAATATATTTGTTAATCAAAGAAGTAATTGAACTGCATGTAAGCATGTCATCACGCTCTCATAACCAAACTGATGAATTAGAATCCATGTTTCTGATGTTTCTTGGGGGAAAAAAAAGAAAAGAAAAGCATTCTGGAGTTACATCTTGGAAAAGAATTGTGAAGAAAACAAAGGCACACAAAATACACTGAGAACATTCTGGAACTGGGAAAAAGAAAGGTTTTTAATGGTTATCCTCAGAGTAGAGCAAAGAAGGGAGTCATGGATTTAAATACAGGTAGACAGAAATTAATTATCTCCCTTAAAAAAGTCAGATAACATACGACAGAATCTATAACTCATAAATAACACGACAGAAATCTAAACCAAACAAGAAAAATTACCTCCATATTTCTTCCTAGTCTAGGACTCTCATTTCCCTTATATTCCAGAAGGGAATTAGAGAAAAGGAGGTTTTGGTGAGTAGCCTAAAGTGTAAAGGATTTTTGCCCGGTCTCAATAGCACCACAGAAGTCCCTCAGCAACTAATGAACATTGCTTGTTCTCTCTTCATTCTGATTTACACCAAGTCCAAAAGGATTGCGCTGGTTCTGGCTTTCCACTCACGGGAAAAAAATAAAATGACTGTAAGGTCATTTGAATCATTCTTTACCTTTCAATAGATTAAATCTGACGTTATTACAGCCTGAGATTGTTCTTTTTGTTTTTGAATGAGTAACGCAGCTTTCCCCTCCCGCCCCGCTTCTGGCCCCCTCGCCTCTCCCCTTCCTTCCCTTCTTTCTTTCTTAAATGCACAGCCCTTCGGAGCACTGAACGTGCTGTTTAGACTTGGGCCCTCACCGCCGCGCAGATGGAGCTGTAGCTGTGCATTGATAAAGCACCCTCCATTTAGGAGGTCACGAGGCGAGGGCACCTTGTCAGCCCCTGAAACACTGTCAATAAAGCCCGACTGTCATGTGGTGAAGGTGGCAATTAGTCCCTGCTCCCTCGCCCTCACCGGAATGGGCCCTGATTTACTCATACAAATATCCCCCCCCCCCCCCCGACCCCGTCTCACAGGGCTTCCCAAAATCACCTCACCGGAGAGGAAGAGAGAATTTGGCAGATATCAGCATAGTAACAGCAAACAACAAATTAGTAACTACGTACTTTAATGTTCAACATTCATAATTGCACAGAGTATCGCTGATCACTTAAATAATACATGTCAGTTAACCTAACGCGGAAACGAGTAAAGTCAAACATTCAAAGCAATACCTTGAGCGTGTAAAAACCGCGAGTGCCACTTAGCACCCGTAGTGCGGAGTCAGAACAGGTCTTTAGGAATCGTTACTTAAAATCCTTACCAACAGGGCAAAGCACTATGGAGAACGACACGTAAACACACACGGCCTGCCAGACGGCTCGGCTGAACGCACGGCGGTTCTGATGGGTTTGGCTAACCTGACTTTCCACGTACACACAGCAGCTTCCAACACTCGAGTGTCGTTTGGTGATGGGGATGCAGAAGGGGAAGGAAGGGGGGCTACCATTGACCCTCAAAACTGAATCCAGCAGGGAAACCTAAACTCCTGACTCGTCAACTTTAAAATGGCATAACCAGAACTCTGTGACAGAGAAAACATTTTCTTTTTCTCCTTAAAAATGCACGTGTGTCAAAAAGGCTGGAAATCTTGTCCGTGCTAGGGGAAAGTTGAGGGTGGAAAAATTTGCATTTAAAAAAATGTATGTTGTAAAGAAAATAAAAAGCCAGAGCGTTTTGGCATTAGCAAAAGGGCTGCGCTAGTTCTCAGGCAATAAATTTATGGGGAAACATGACAGGCTCCTCATTAAAGCTATGTGTACGTTGGCTGAATTTTATACAAGATTCTTGAATCTTGTGGAAAACTGGGCATGGCTTGACATCTGAACAATGTCGCTGGTTTGTTTGATTTCTAAAGCGTTGGAAAATGTTATACTTTGGAAATCAAGGAGAGAGGAATAAACATACTGAAAGAGCACTGGGCTGAATCGGAAAGTTCTTTTTCCATATGGATCTATGAGATATTTATTACCTTTACTTCTCTTACAAACACAGCCCCCCTTGGCTAGAAATACTGTGGTCCTTTTTTCTTTTTCTTTTTTTTTTTTTTTTTTCTGATGGCGAGAAAATAGTGCCGTGAAGGCAAATCTTACCCAGCAGCGGTAACCACCTAAGGATAGGCAATTTTCAGTTGGCTTTTCAGAAGCTGGTTGCCATGACAAAAAACACAATTTATTCCTCAGTTCCTTATCACAGCTACAGATCACAGACCATAAAAATTAACAAGGCTCTCTTCCTTTTCCTGATGATTTCAGAGTTCCTCATCCTTACCTGAGGTCTTTTGTTCCCCCAATTAAATGGAATGAATGTCAGTCATCTAGCAATTCAATTAATGCTGATTCAAAATTCTGGCCCAAACCAGAATCTATAATCACAACCTCCTAATCACAGCTCAGCCACGAGAATGAAAAGTAAGTAGGAAATTGCACTAATTACTCAATTAGACTAATACTGTATTTTAAGCAAGGGCTTAAGGGGCTGTCAGCTCTGACAAAGGGCTCGGAGGCGGCCTCACCTGTGTGCCCTCAGCCCCCCCCCCCCAGCTGATGTTTACAAGGGGCCCTCACTGCTGCCTGTCTAAGGTGGGATGGGTGAGTGGGTGATGGAAATTCCTAACAGGCCACCCGTGAGGGGCAGCTCCGGGGGCTCCAGGAGCTCCGCGACCCTGTGCACGGACAGCCGGGGTTTCTGGGAGACCCCGTACGGTGAAGGCAGCCGAGCACCTGCACCGGCATTGGCTTCAGGAGGAGCTGCTGCGCTGAATCTCAAAATGGAGCGATGCTCGCAAAACCAGCCTCCAAACTCACCGCAGGGCCCGAGTCTGCGCTGGGGAGAGCGCCCAGCCTGCAGGGGGGGGGGGGGGGGCGCCCTGGGGGCTCCGGGAGGCTGAGAGCTAAGAGTCACCGCACCCCAGGGCCAGCTTCTCAGGCAGCACAGCCTCTCCGGGCAACCTCCGTGGAACTAAGAACATAAGTGGAGAAGAACCTGGGGGGGAAGAACACCCCAGATGTGACTGAAGTATGTACACAGCAGCACGGGATACACACCCAGACAGGCTGAGCCCTATTTCAAACACGAAACCTCCACCCCCACCCTTGCCCCACCCCCACGAGCCCCTTTCTTCCCACTCCGTCCCAGAGGCGTGAATATGGTGTGGATGGGGGCGGACACGAGCTGGTGCTGCCTTGGTACGTGTACAAACCCTTCCGGAGCTGGAGAGGAAGAGGGTGGGGCCCACCACGCGTGTCCTGGTCTGAAAAGGACCGGCTGGGGTACTGCTCGGGGGTCCACAAGGAGAGAAGACACTTGTTTGAGTGGGACAGACCGTCTTTACTTCCAGGGCTTGCCTTGCAGGTGGCCGCTGCCTTGGGAGCGGGGGCTGGCGTGGCCGGCGGGGCCCCCGGAGGACAGGCTCTGGCTGCTGCCGCGGGAGCTGGGTGCCTTGGAGTCTCTGGCCGAAGCGTGAGCGTGGCTCAGCCGGCCTGAGGGGGCAAGGAAGCAGGGAGAGAGCTGCAGGAATGGCCCCCGGGACAACCTGCCAAGCACACTGTTAAGCCAATGAGGTCTTATACTACAACCACTTTTAAGCTAATGAAGTCGGACTCAGAGTTCACGTAGAGCTAAGACATGCTGTTAATCCTGTGACCAACTTAACGGTGGGGAAAAGGGCAGAGACGAAAGGAAACCCAGGCAAGCTAGCCTGCCCCACCTTCCTTCTAGGCAGAGAAGTGAGCAGGAGCGTGAGAGGGCAGAGAGGAGGAGGCGGTGTGCAGGGGAAAGGCCTTGAAGTGGTTTGTGTGCCTAGAAGCAACAGAAGGAAATGAAGACTTCCAAGCAGGACTCTGGATGCTTGAGCCTGGCCTCTCAACTCTGCCTGAGACACACACTTTGATCAAGTCTCTTCTCTCCTGTCTGTGCACCATGCCTAATTCTTGTCACAATCTTGGCTAGCCTTCACTTGCTCCCCCCTCACCCCCCCCCTCACATAGCTCCTGTACCCTTCCAAAATATTGAAAGACACTGAATATATTACACGGGATCACAAATATCAAGCTCTACAGAAAGTGTCATCTCTAAAGGTCAACGTGTCTTACTGAGACTGTCTGTCGGGCCCTGCTCCTCTTCCAGGTAATATTCTATCTTCTTGAGGTCTTCTGGGGTGAATCTCCACTTATTCTCCGCCGGCGGGGGCGGCACCTTGGGGCTGGATCGTTTCCGGGCAGAACCAGGAGGAAGGGCTTGCTGGCAAGATGCTGGCAGGGAACCTGTCATCAGTCCTTCGGGGAATTTCTGAGCTAGGACTTTGAGACCTGGGTGTGGGGGAGCGGAGAAAAGGCAGCGTTACCACCATGAAGCCTGGGCGAAATTGGGCGAGGGGCCTGCAGGCCTCCTAATCTCCGGCTTCCACGGCGAGGCCGGCACAGGGATGCCGAAATCTCCCTCAACTGCTTCGCCATTAAGGAAATTACCCCAGAAAATGTCGCTTGTTATGTGGGATTCTGAGAATTCCACCAGAAATCCTCCTGCGTAAGTCCTCGGCATCAAAGCTCTCTCACGGGGCCCTGATGCAGGCAGTATTTCAGGAATGTAAAACGCGCGCCGATGGAGCGCAGGGAGGCCTCACAGAACTGCCTCCTTCCAGCCCTCTCTTTCCCCAGCGCGGGCAGACCCGGTTCTATGGCGCTGCGCTTCACTGCACCTCACAGATGTTGTTTATTTTTATTTCCTACAAACTGAAGGCAAGACCCTCTGCCGGCAATACGATTATGACCCGCTTTACGGGGATCCTTGCTTGGTAGTGGGGATCTGCGTGTGCCCGGGGTATGCCTGTACTGAATCCTGAGCTCCCAGGACAAAGGGACTGGAGTGGGGGTGAAGGATCGTGAGCCCCAATCTCAGCCTTTAGGGTCCAGAGCAGAACAGTCCGGCTCGCTCGCTCACCTCCGGAAAGCATGAAGAGGTTTTCGAAGCCCCGCTCGCACATGGTGGTGGCCGCCTGGCTGGCCAGCCTCTCGTCGTCGTCGTACAGAATGATGATCTTGCCGTGAGCATTTTTCTCAGAGTCAGACGGGTTAAGGTTTGACCACACTGAGGTAATGTTTCCAACTACAGGAAATCCCCAAGGAGCAGAGAGCTGTCCCGGTTCAGCTTTCTGAATTCAGGGCGACGCCGGACGGTCCCTCTCTTTACCCATCACACTGGCAATTATTAGAGCTCTCCCTGACAGGGACCCACCGGAGTATTCTTTTCTCTTAGAAACTAACAGAACCCCGATTCAAGACGCACTAGGGCACTGTACACCCTTTAGCTCTGTGAGCCTCACAGCCCTGGAGGATGAGTATTACAAGTCCGTTCTATAGGCAAGGAAGTAGAAAAACTGTTATGTTCAATATGCTCTATTGGAGCTTGTTTGTCATAGTAAAAAAAAAAAAAAAAGCCTACAATAAAGAGAACATTTTAGTCAATTATAGTACATCTGAAGGCATTTACACTACATCAAAAATGGAATTTATAAAGGCTGTGTGTTAGTGTGACAAAGTACATTGTAATATCAAGTGCGGAAAAAACAAGATACTAAGTTATAGAGACAGTATGATTTCTACTTTGTTAAAATATATACAGAAGACAGTCTAGAGTAAAATATACAAAAAATGTAATAAGTGTTCAAATGGGTGATTATAAAATATTTTCTTTCTCACATATTCCAGCATTTAAATTATTTTCTACTTGTATGATTTTTATGAGCAAAAATATTAAAATTTTAAGAAGAAAAAAGTTAAAATAGAAGGAAGGAAATTTACTTAAATTTTACTTGGGAAAGCTTTTGGGGGGAAAATGTCTTAGGACTCTTTTGAGAGAGAAGAAGGGAGAGAGAGAGAAACATCAGTGTGAGAGTGAAACAACCATTGGCTAACTCCTGCATGCTCCCCATCAGAAAACAAGCCCACAACCAGGGATGTGCCCTGCCCGGGAACCAAACCTGGTACCTTTCGGTGCACAGAACAATGCCCAATCAACTGAGCCACACCAGCCAGGACAGGACTAACTCTTAATGGGTAATAACCTTTAACCTGTTCTTTGGCCTGGTGCAGTATGGCTTGGAACCATCTGCCATCATAATCAGCATACTCAGAAACAGCTAAGAATAGAAATTCTAAAATATGCCAAGATAAGCTAATTAGTATAACAAGTCATTCACACATTGCATCTCGGTCTTTTGGCTAAGATCAAGTGACGTGTCAAAAGTCCTTCAGAGAGTTTTCCTCCCAGGGACAATTCTTGGTAAGTTTGATTATTACAAACCTCATCATCACCCAACACCTTAAAATGCAATAAAGGATACATATTCAAGAATATCATTTGAATAAGGGTTCATTGTTCTAGACAGAGTTGCGATTGGGTAACTGTAAGCTGCAAAGAAAGGAAAATTAGGAAGTCTGTAGCTCTCCTAGTACAACTTGACCCCCACCCCACCCATTGGGTTTAAAGTCTCACTGAGAGCTTAAAAAAATATATTTTCAAAATCAACAAGCCATAAACCTAAATACTTTTGTGAAAGAAAAGAAATAGGACACGATAAACGAAATCTGAAGCTTTACTTGACTGTGATTGATGTTAGCCCTGGGCCCGGAGCCGTGTGAAAGCGTCACCGGCCTGTCTCTCGGCGTTATAGCAAAGCCAGCTCACCGGGCCGGCACCTGGCTCCTTAACTGCTGACCATGGGAGGCGGTCAGGGGGCCAGGATGCAAGAATGGGCGGTGTTGCTGGGAGTGAAACACTCAGAGGCCGCCTTTCTCTTACCTCCGACAATGTGGCCCTGCTGGTAAGAGTCTCTATCGCGCACATCTAGCAGCAGGAAGGGGCAGTCGGGATACGGCTTGTCTCTGCTGTTGGGCTCTGCTTTCTTCACTAGCCCTTTGTCTAGGTCCAGCTCTCCAACACCACTGATGACGCTGCAAGTGGAAAAGTAGGTCAGTGGCAACTGGTCTTAAAGGTCAGACGCTCTTCTTCAGAATAGCGAGAGAGGGCTCGGTGTCTTTTCAAAAGACACCTCAGAGAACAAGGAAAATGGGTATAGTGTCTCAGTTCTGCTTCTGAATACAAGATCCTGTGGATTCCTGTTCTATCTCGCTGGACCCCGAGGAGAGGGTCCCTGCTTACCTCCCGACAATGTATGTTGAGTCATTAGCCTGGCTGAGGGGGTAGAACCTGGAGGACGCACACTGCCTCCAGCAATCAGGGCAGCATTCAGAGAAAGAAGAGGTGGACGATTAATCCAGTGGAATTTTGAAAGCAGAGCAAAAGGGGAAAGAGTAAGGTCCATGAGGCAGGATAAATGAAGGCATTTCTATATGTAATGTAAAGCAACGGCAATGTTTTCATTTATTCATACCGTCTATCCAATATGGATTTTGAACCTTAATGTTTTTAGTAGCTATGTGTACTTACTTCCATTTGATAGGTTATGATGTTGAGGTTGAAGAGGCTTTTAGATTTGGTGACACTCATACAATCAGACACAGGAAAAGCTAGGATTAAAATGAGGGAGTTCACCACTGATAGCTCTATTATAAGGTTATAAAAATCACTAAAATTGGTCACCATATTAATATAGGAAAAATGGGGTTAAAACACGGATCAAAGGAATGAGAAGAGGAGGTGTGATGAACAAAATGGCAAGTAGTGGAGGGTCTCTAGTAGAAGACGATTACTTTCCTGGAAAATATGAAGACATGTATGCCAAACCACAGACTGACATGCAGTATAGTTCCCACCACAGCAAGTCCAATTCTGCACTTAAATCTGCTAAGCATTATAACTCTATGCCATGTAGTGCATATTTTGTTGAACCACAGGAGCCGAAACACTATCCTCAATGGAAGTCTCGTTGGTCTATCTTGTTTTGAATGCAATTTTAGAGTCCTGGCACAAAAGTAGTTATAAAAATAATAATAATGGTATAGATGATAGCAGTTCTTTCACTAGTTGGACTATTTTACCAGTAGAAGGGATGGGTATGTGCCAAAAATTAGCATCGTCTTATAATCAACAGTTACTATGTGCGAGAAAGTGTTACGTCACAGGGTTTGAAAGAAGGACCAGCCACGTGCAGCTGGAGAATCGACACCGATGGCTGCTCTCACTCTTCTTTGCACCTATGCACTAGCCGAGCCCTGTGGGTGCCTCTCCATTTTCCTTCTGATTCTAGTCAGGGTACTTATACGGGGCGACAGACAGAAAAGGCGAAGAGAATCACGCTCTCTGAGTCAAAAGACAGTAGTTGTAAAGCTCGTTTCTGATAGCAAACGTGCATACAGGAGGACTGAGGAGAGTGGAAGCGAGGTGTGAAAATGAATGCTCTCCCATCAACAGAGTCTTAGGTTAACGATGATGACGGAGGATGCTGTGTGAAGATTCAGGAGGAGGCATTTACATAAAGAGAAAGCAGAAGGCTGGGTGAGAATGTGGGGCTTCACCATCGCCAATGTGAGGTAAGTAAGTAAGTAAAATCGGCCTCTAGAGCCCAATATGAAGGGGAAGATGAGGGCAAGCATGGATCTGATCGAAGTACCTCTGGAGTGTGGAGCGACTGGAGTCCCCCACTCCCACGCTGTTGATGAACTGGACAGGGCTCGGCGACTGCTCACTGGGGCTCCCCTTCCCATTGGTGCTGGCAGTGACTTCAGCATCAGGGTCTGAAATCGCAGAATCATTGTCTAAAATGTGCAAATAAAGAAACAAGTGCATTTAGTGGTACATTCTGTGTTTACTTATCAGGCAGGGCCCCTGAAATTAGGTCAAGCAAAGGAACTCACATCACCTTACTTAAATTGTTCTATACATTCTCAAATTAGGTCTCTAGGTTCTCAAAATGCCATCTGTGTACCCCCGGAGTCCCCAAGGCCCTTTCAGGGGACCTGCAAGGTAGAAATTGTTTTCATAACGATGCTGAGATGTTACTAATCATTTTTACTGTGTTGATATTTGCCCTGATGGTGCAAATAAAATGGTAGATAAAACTGCTAGTGCCTTAGCGAGAGTCAGGGTGGTGGCGTTAAGTTTTATTAGCAATCATCCTGTTTTCACCAACCTGCAATCACAGTTAATATGGCAGTCTCACTTAAAAATCGTCCCTGCTGACGCACTAATAATTAACATCTTTATTAAATTTTACCTTTTTCATATTCTGTGTGATGAAAGGGGGACTTGCACACGGGCAGTTTGCTAGATACCCAAGTCCCATGGCTGTCTCAAGGAAAAGCATTAGTCTGATTATTGCTGCTTTTGCCACAAATACCATTTTTACTTGGAAGAAAATCTGAGAAAAACTCGTTACTTAGACTTGTGCATTTGGCAGACATTAAAAAAAATGATCTAAGTGAAAAGTGAACTTGTCATTTCAAGGAAAACAACGGATGGCATTTGTTGCAATGATTACATCTTGAATAAAAATCATAATTTTGAAAGCTATGTGCCATCGGGAGCTTGACTGTTCCCCGTACTTAATGCTTTTTCTGATAAGATAGGCGGCAAGATTGAGAAATGTGGGTTTTTTTTTTTTTTTTTTTTTTTTGATGCTGTGTAATGAAATTTGTCAACATTGGGAACATCTTCATAACTCAGTGAACCAATAATTTTCGCACGACCAAGGCATGATGTTATAAAATCATACACGGATAAAAGATTCATTCAAAGCACAAGGCAGACGGATGGCTTTTAATGTAACAGGGTGTGAAAAATTCATTAATATGGTTTCAGATTCTATGTTACAACAACCCTTTAGGAAGCTGTCAGTTGTTGTTTTGGTGTTGTGTCAAAGGAAAATACCCACAATAAGGGAACGGGCTATTCAAACACTCTCCCCTTTTATAGCTGCAGGTCTGGGTGAGGCAGGTTTTTTTCTGATCCTTCAACCCAAATAGCCTATTGCAACACATTGAACACAGAAGATAGGAGAATCACTGCTTTCTAGTAAATCAGACAGTAATGAGATTTACCCCCCCAAAAATAAGTAATTCCATTCTCAGAAAAATTTTTGTTTTAGAAATATAATTATTTGCATAAAAATATCTTATGTTGGTAATGGGTGAAATAATGAGTAAATATTTTTAAGTTATCCTTAAAATTTTAATACCCTAAACATTAATAGGTATAATTTACATAAACCAAAACTTTTTGAGGTTCTCAATAATTGTTATAGTGTGGAGGGAGATTATTAGAATTTACTGTCCTAACCAGTATAATTAGGGAAGAAATGAGATCTTAATTTGGATATGATAAAATATACAGAGCAACTTCAAGAGACTCCTCTAAGAATAAGGAAAATAAATAGGTGGTTAGATAAAAACATAAATTCTAACAAAGTATTTTTCCTATATACCAATTAGAAAATAATATGAAGATCTCATTTACAATAGCAATTACTGATATACAATATACTCGCCTACAAAATAAACCTAATTAAGAAATGTAAAGGTCCAGTAAAAACCTGTAAATCCTTTATAGGTCTTATAAAAATTTACTTAAGGACATTAACCTGAATGAAGAGAGTGGCATACATTGAATAGTCCTGACTGGGTGGCTAAAAGTTAAATGATTTAATCCTTTCCGGATTTATTTTTTAGCCTTAATGCAAATCCCAATAGGATAAAAAATAAAAAAAGTATAAAAGGATTTTAAATATAAGAAGAACAAAAAAAATTATACATACTTATATAAAAATTTAGAGAACCTGACTCATTAAATAGTAACTTATATTGAAAAGGTAAATGATAAAAGCAATATTCTATTCTAGAACAATAGAATACAATAGAGAACACAGAAACAAATCCTAGAAAATATATAAGAAGCTAATATATGTTCAAGGTAGCATCACAAATCAGTGATAAAGGAGAACTATTTTTCTAGATAGTTGACAGATGATTTCAACAGCTGTCAACTATCTAGAAAAATCAACTTTAGTTAACCTCTCGCATCATATAGAGTGTGTCCCACCCAAAACAGTCTACAGATTTTGAATGATCATAAAGTCAGTGTTTATTAACATACAGTTCATTAAAAAAATTTAAAAGAATCTACAGAGATGAGTAATTTTTGTGTGTGTCAATGCCTGTTTTCAAACTAATGACTGTTCTGGTCCAGGCATCGCTGATAATGTGAAACAATGAAATCACAAATATTAAGAATCATTTTGTTCAGCATTTGGGTGCTCTCAATTTGTCAACTATTGCCGGCTTTGTGCCGTAAACTTTTTTTTATGTATCCCCATAAAAAAAGTCTAGTGGCACTTTAGAATACATTTTCTTTGTTCAAAGCTTAGTCTGGCTTCACCCATTATTTCAAATCAGTTAAACTTGAAAAGGAGTGAAAATTAAGTGATTGTCAGTTGGTAAAATGTGCATACACTTTTTTGGGACATGCTATATATGTAACAGATAGATCGATATTAAAAAACAAAAATAACAAGCAAACTGATAGGAGAAAATAGAGGTAAATAATTTATCTTATTTTAGAATTTATGAATCTAAAGCAATAAAACAAAACATAACATGATAGGCTGATTTAATCATGCAAACATGCAAATCTCATATAGGTCAAAATCAACAAAAAAATTAAAAGGTGAATAACAAATTAGGAAAAAAATACCTGTAACATATATGGGTAAGGCAAGGTTAATATACTTAATTTACAGAGTTAAAAAAAAATTAACTAGCTTTTTAGTTGAAAAAAAGGATCATGTGTACAAAGTAAAAATGCAAACAACATAAATTCACATGGAAAGGAAGCCTTCTTCCGATTCCAGACGCACGGCCCTCAGGCCTCCTCCCCCAAGGGAACCAGCTTCACATATTTATGTCTCCTTCCAGAAATAAAACATCTACATACTTCTGCATGTATTTTACTTCCTCCCCTTTTTACATGTCCAGGAGAAGGCGATTCATACTGCTCTACGCTTTGGCTTTTGTTTTGTTGTTTTATTTTTACTTAATAATATAGCTTGAAAATTGTTCCAAATCATCAAGTAAAGATTTTTCTCCTTTATTTCCAAGGCTGTATTGGTTTCCAAAGTAAAAAGATATCATAATTATATAACGCTTTCATAAATCAGTAAGTAAAAGGTGAACATTCCATTAGAAAAAAATGAGAAAGGACCCGTAATATCTTCGAAAGAAATACGTATGACCAATACACATACACACACACACACACACACACACACACACACAGAGCTCACTGTCACTATCAGAGACATTAAAAATAAACCAGGTCAGCACTGGCTAGGATGGGGAGAAACGTGTCTTCTCGAGCACTCGGTGGGATGCAGAGATAGAACCTTCAGGAGAGGCTGTGGAATCAGCATTGAGAGCCTCCAAAAACAGTTCTACCCTTTGTCCATCTGCAGCGACTTATCTCCAGGAAATAACCAGAACCACACAAGCACTTACGTATTTACATGGCAGCATTATTCTATAAAAGTGAAAAGTTAAAAAAAAAAAAACAACCCAAGAAACAGTAGTGCCCCAGAAATAGGGAAATAATTAAATAAATTATGGTGTGTCCAAAGGGTTGACATTATCTGACCAGATGACCTTTACACTGAAGCTCTGTGAGTCTACTTACTGACACAGGGAAGTCTTCGTGACAAAATGTTAACTGGAGACAGCATAACACAAAACTACATACAAAGAGTATGCATTTGGGTGGGAGTTAGATAGGGGGGAACAATAGACAACAAAATTTAAAATAGGAATTATTCGTTATTTTAATTTTCTTTATATAGCTTTTGCAGTTTTCTAATTTTCTAAAAATATACTTTTAAGCCAGGGAAAAAATAAACACTACAAAAGGAGATCTTGTAATCCTTCAAAGATAGTCAATATGCAAACAGATACAATCTGTCATACAGGCATTCCTGAGTGAGTTATTATCCTGTGTAGAGCACTAGAAAAACACTAATATTACTCACACATTATGGTGTCCTATTTTACAAGAGCCCATTTTGCCGTGCAAATTCATCTCAGAAGAGAAAATTGCATGAGCCCATATGTCCTGGTGCTGCAATCTCTATAATGAATTAAAAGACCCAATCCAGGTACTTATATAACCAGGTTAAAATTGGGTGTATTTGTACGAGGAGACTCAATTATCTCTATTACAAAGAGCCCTTCTTTCTCCGCTGTGTGAGAGGCATCTGTCAAAGATAAATTCCTGGCTTTTTCAGATTCCCTTTATCCTCGCTAACAAAAACAAGCCCAGGGAAATGACAGTTGAGTTGCACAAATCCAGTGTTCAGACTTCCTGAGAAACTTGTCTTGAAATCAGAAGTCAAATTCCTGGCCTACATCAACCTTAACAAAACACATTCTCCATCAATAAACAGCCACGCATTGATTGGTGAGCGCTTCGGGATAAAATAAAGACCTTAGCTCTGTGTATGCCTTTCATGAGAGGACAACGGGGAGGTTTTATTTCGACCGGGCATTTAAGAAAGGAAACCTGGAGCCTACCTATCTTTCTGGTCTTATCTCCTACCAGGCACCTATTCCTCCCGCAGACCACAGCCAGACTGGATTACTGATTCCCCGGCTCGCCGGGAGCTCTCTCTGCTCCCTGCCTGTGCTCAGCCTTTTCTCCTCGGTGCCTCTCCTCAGCCAGCAACAGCCTCACCTGCAAGGTCTGGCTCAGGAGCCTTAAGAAAGACTAGCTGTTTTCTAACAGGAAAATGCCTTCCCTCCCCGGCACTCCCAGCAGACACTGGCTGCCCCGGGAGACACACAGAGTTGTGTCCTCACTGGCTGTGCCACCTTCAGCAAGTCACTGCACCTCTGGGCTTGGGCTTAAAGAGTACCTTCTTTCAGAGTTTCTGCAAAAATTAAATTTAAAAAATCAGGTGAAGTATCTAGCAATATACATGCATTCAGCAAACGATAGCTTCCTTTCAGTGCTCCATTACGAATTTCTGCCATGTTAGTGATTTTGTGTTTCTGTTATCCTTCTCCTCACCCAACATGCAAACACATGTGCATGCGTGATTACAAACTCCATGTCTGTAGAGCTGGGTTTTAGTCATCCTTGTAGTCTCATAGCACCTAATTCTGTGGCTTGTACATACATAGAAAACACTAAAAATATTTGTTAGAAAAAAAGTAATTAGTATATCAAACACATCTAAAACATTTAAAACGACAAATGCTAGAGCCAGAAAACCATATGGCTTTTTTTTTTTTTTTAAAGAAGAAGTAAGAATTAACAATTAAAGCAGCAGATAGCATTTCTCAGAGAGCAACAATCTAATTACGAACAGGTACATCAAAGTCCCCAGTCGCTGCGAAAGCAGCCGCAGAGGGTGGGCGCTTCAGCCAAACGGTCAATCCGTTCCTTTCCCGCGGCCTCAATTCTCATTACCTTCTAGTCTTTGAATCTCCTCAGCTGTCACTTCCAGTGTTTGATCTGACAAGGAAGCAACCTGGATGACCTGCGAGAAAAAGGAATGAAATGCGGAGATGTGTCCATGTTTGTTTGTCTCTAAACAGAGGCAAGCCTGTCTTTTACAAAAGACAGGGAACATCAAAGATCTCTTGTTTTAAGGAACTGTCAATGTCCTCAACTAGAGACTAAATCTCAGGTCTCCTTACTCCGGAAGTGGTCATTACACTGCAGATGACCATTCCAGAAGAAAAAAGTTCATTTAAAACATTGTGCAATAAACTTAAAAAAGGCCAAAAGGACAATTTAGAACAAGAAATATGAATAAGAGTCTAAAACTGCACCCATATATATTCTTGTCCCAACACAATGTGTTATTACTTTTTTTTTTAATTTGTTACTGTTGAAAGTATTACACATGCTATACTTTAATATGTTATTTCTTAAAAATGCAATACTTATAATAATAAATTGTATCAGCAATTCTTCATGCAAGAAATAAATAAATATAATCATGAGTACATTGATTATAACATTGTATACCTAATATAGATTTTTTAAAATCATCACCTGAGGATATTTTTCCGTTTATTTTATTTTATTTTATTTTATTTTATTTTATTTTGAGAGAGTGGAATGGAGAGGGAGAGACAGAGAGAGAAACATTGATGTGAGAAGAGACATCTCAATTGGTTGCCAACTCGGGACCCTTCAGTCCGCAGGCTCTATCCACTGAGCCAAACTGGCTAGGGCCTTACATATAGATTTTGAAACAGTTTTTAAAATTTAGCTCATAAGACCCAAGATCCATCTTGAGTTACATCAATGGAACTCTTGTTTGGGTACCAGAGAGACACATGATCCATAATTTTCAAATGAAAGGAGAAAGTGACTTTCCCAAAGTAACAAAATAGCCCAAGAAAGGCTTGTAAAAAGAACTCAGTCATCGAGGGCGATCACCTGGTTTACACAGAGAGAAATGTCCGAACAATCCCAAGTCCAGAATTCTAGATTCTAAATATTAAATTAAATGGACAAGGAAAGAAAAAAAAAAAACAAAAAAACCCAAAACCACACAAATTTGATGATTTAAAAATAGAATGCACATTTTACTTTATACAATTCTTACCAAAGAAGAGAGAAAAATTTCACCTTGTCCTCCAATGAATACACATATCATACACCAATTAATTCTCTCACAGGTAAAATATAAATAATCAGAAGAAACCCACTGTAAATATTACCTAGAATCAAACTTAGAGATAATCACAAAAAGCAGCACAAATTCGACAGGTTTTACTCCAGTGGAGGATCATTAAACTTACCAGTTGGGCAAAGGTGGTAACTTTTAATCTCTTGAAAAGCTCATCTTTTTTGTATCTGTAATCTGAAAAACACAAATATTTTTCTAGAAGTATTCATTATTTCTAATCACCAAGTTATATGGTATATTTCTCAAGTTATTTATATGCTTTTACATACCTTACCTCATTGAATCCTCATGATATCCTCAAAATTAAAAGTGGTTGGTATTATATAATTCCACCCCCCCCCCCCACACACACATACTTTGCTTGGACCAGTAGAAAGCCTATAATTGAATAGCCACCTCTTCGTGTCTAGAGACTTTATCCCTTGCCTTTATTTCATTAGTCTACCATTTTCCTCTTACCATGCTATCTCTACTTTGGCCATATTGTACCACACTTTTGGAAACTGCTTTAAACTATGTTTAGAATAAAGGGAAACAAATCTGCATATTATAAACAAGGACAGAGACCCTTAAGCTGAGTGGCCCTAGGTCAAACCCTGCCCTGAAAAGAGGACAATTACATTCCTGACCTGAGATTACAAACCATGCAGGACAACACTGCCTCCCAGGCCCCTGCACAATGCTGGGCACACAGTCCTGACTGCTCCAGACCATCTTTGCTGTCAGTTTCTCTCCCACTCCACTTCAATAAAAAGCAACCTGGTCAGGTTTGCAAGATGAAAACATCCTGGAGATCTACTGTACAACAAAGTGAATATACTTAATACCGCTGGACTGTACACTTACATTGGTAAGATAAATTTTATGGTATATGCTGTTTACAATTAAAGTAAAAATCAACCTAAAACATCAACATGTAGTCAGTGCTATCCTTACAGTTCTGAGACATAACTCCTCCAATGAGGGTACTCCCGTAATTGTGATAATAATTCTGTGTATCACATTAACCAGTTTTTAAAAAATTTCAGCCAATATCACTTTATCTAATCTCTGCCCCATAGAGATTAGCTTCCTTAAACTTTTCTCAAAATGACTGCCGATTCTGAAGTTTTCAACATTGAAATCCCTCCCACTCTTACCCTTTACTCCTCTCCCCTTGTAGGTGTTTTTATTGGAGCCCAGGGCTCCTTAAAGTCTGTGTCATTACTTCAGAATTATGAAAGGTCAGTTAGCTGGGTAATTACTGTGGCTTTCATAGCACAAAGTCTCATAAGCCAAGACTCCTAGCAACAAAGGAAAGGATTAAGATATTTAAGACTGTTTACCTGGTGAACAGTCTTAATCATTTCTATGAATTTCCCCCCCCAAAAAACCCCCAAACAAAAACAAACAAACAAACAAACAAACCCTCAGCAAGACCGGATAGTTATTTTGGAGGATAATGTTTGCTTGATTTACCAAACACCTTATGACTCAGAGTCGGGAACTATTACCTTAAAAACTACATGAGATTCTTGTCTTACAGGGAATTAAAGCTTTTCTGTTCTGAAATGTCTTAAAGACAGTGATTTGGCAAATAACTGACTATTATTTCTAGAAAATTCTTAGAACAGCTTCTTCTGGATACAAGGTAACAAACCTAGATGCAAACCAGCTTCTATGATCCACCAGGATGTAGACCCAAGTAGGCTGACCACAAGCAATAACAAGTGCAGCCGAATCACCACCAACCCGTCCACCAAAAGTCACTTATTTAAATCAAAATGGTGATAAATCAGACAATGAAAACAGTCAATTGCTTTCAAGTACTTTGCACTGTGCCATTTACCTACCGATATTCTTTTTGTATAGTTACATAGTTTGAAATACTCCTCCAATTCTTCACATTCTAAGTACATTAAAACCCCCTTTAACTAAATAGGAATTACCTTAAACAAAAATCTGGATCAGCTGTATTCTAATGATTGACATTTCTAGTGTCCTCTCGCAAGCATGAGAAATCCCAGTGCACATTTGAGCCTCAACTCTACATACCTGGTTCTGGTTTAGAAGGGCAGCCATCACTAGGACTTTCTGACATTATTACTCAGAGACAAAAAGATCAAACCAGACGTTGCACAGTAAGTTTTAAAGTTTATAGAAAGGATGGCTTGGAAAGCTCGGTCAGTCTGTCCTTGCAAGGGCGAACAGAGCTTTAAGAATGGAGCTTCTGCTACTGGTAGCTTCTCCCAACTCTGCGACGGAGACAATTAACCTGCGTTTCAGATACGCTATCAAGTTTTGCTTCTCCAGTAAGTCTGGAGGCTCAGCCTGTCTCTCTCGAGTTACTGGAAGGACAGAGACCTAACTATCTAGGATGTTTCACACTGGGTCCAACTAGTGTCATCTAACCACCAGAAGCCAAGAATACGCTTTGTAAGTGGTCAATAGACACAGAGTGTCTGTTCTCCCCAGGCAGAGTTGAAAGAATATTCAGATTACAAAGGAATTCTGAGTTTTTCAGGGTTTTGTTAAAATACGTTATTAGCAAAGGGAAGTTGGGCTCACAGTGGAAGACAAATCAAAGGAAGTAACAGAATGAGGTTTGTGATTTCACAGAAAGACATGGCATCTAAGGTAATCCGAGAAAAGGGATGGGACTAGGGTGTCCTGAAACAAGGCAATATTCTCCTCCCTTTGACCCAAAAGAACCCCTACAACAGAAAATGGGATGAGAGAAGGAAATATCATCCAAAATGTAGATCCCAAACCAGAATCCGAAGTAATTCTAGTCAGGGAATTAGCACAAAGTGTGTGAAACCAGGTGAGAGGAAGCTCCTGTCTTCCTAAAAGGAAGCCCACAACTTCTAAAGAGAAAAGCATTTTCAAGGACTCTGTTCCAGAGGCATTTCTTTGGGGAGAAAAGCTCCATTTAAAGTTTAGATGTTAAAGAGACCACATTGTGCTTTTGAGAAATGTTTTAAACAGGGTTTCCGCAACCTGGGTGGAACAAGACATTTTTAGGGGACACATTTTGGTGTGGACATGTGAGCTTTTATGCTCAGCGACAAATGGATAGGAGGTGAGAGAGACTACACACCGAATTCGAAGCAGTCCGGCTGGATTTTCCTGCCATGGATGAACAATAATGCAGCCCAGGTGAGTAAACAAGATTATTTTCTTCTCTTAAAATGTTAATATATCCTTAAAATACATACTTATACAATATAAAGTGCAATACAATCTATAAAATATAATATAGAACATATAAGAAGAAAAGAAAGGGCTACGGTGACATTGCACATTAGGAAACCAATGTCTCCAGCATTAGGCCTATAGCTCACTGAGGCAGACAGCGGAGTCAGCAGAAAGCTGCTCCAGAGTCCACATCTACTATCTGGGCTTTCTCAGAAATTCAAAGGGAACAGAAACATTATCATTTAAATTCAAAGGCCTGCTGCGTGAAAACAAAGTTCTCTGAATTCTGGATTTGTAGTAATCTCTTCCCAGAAGATGTATATTACCAGAGCCAACTTCTGAACCGTTATCTGAGGGAGTTCCCTCTCTCCCCGCATTAGCTAAATACTCAGCCCTCCACTGCATTCCACTGGAGACAGGCGCAAATCCGTCTGAGGAGGGAGATGTCTCTGCTGCTTCTTTAAGTCTGGCCTTGATGTGTACATTTTACATCTGTTTTGGTCACAGACTGAAAAATCATGATTTTGTACAAGAGCAATACACTCAAGTAACGAGTGGCGTATCTTTGCAGAAGATTCGTTTTTAAAGAGAATGGGCATGAAATATGATTTTTAATTAAAAGGAAGCAGGCTACAATGAATTTATAATGTATCACATCACTTTAGGAATAAGCGCTTTCTCATCTCTAAGGCTCTCATGAGTACTAATTTATAATCAGAAGAATGGTATGAAATGAGATATTATTACTCCTATCTCAGGTACAGAGAAAGCAGGAAAGATTAAGTACCTTGAAAAAGGCTAAGAAGACTGTAGAACAATGAAACGAAAGCGCAGGTTCTCACTGCTCCCTCTGTGTTCCCAGAGGAACATCTCCTCTGAGGACTAAGTCAGGCACAACTCGACCCACAAGCCACAATCCTAGCAGCGAGCCAGGAAGGTCCAGTGTTTCCCACATCTCTCCGGCCACCGGCCGGTGGGCTCCCAAAGCTCTCTGTGTGTCAGTTACAGAGTGTGATTAGGATGGTTAATAACCAACTGATAGAGCTACTGCAGGGCTCCATGGTGCCAGCCCATCAATAGTGCCACTTACTTTTTTTGATCTCTTCTAGCTTCTCAATGTATTTAGTCATACTGTTACCTAAAAAAAGAGAATAAAGATTTTAGATATGTTTTTAATGGAAGGAAATCAATAACACTGTGAAAATGGAGTACAAGTATTCCCTAAGCCTTCCTATCCTGTTCTTACAGAATGACAGGAGGCAAATGGACCACACAGAGTAATAATCTTCTTTGGATTATACAGCGCCATTAAAAGCTGATGAATCATGGGAAATGTTTGGTCAAATGTGTTAAGTTGGGGTACATACCCAATAAACATTAAGAAGTCCCAGGTAGTAAAGATGATAATTTGATGTAATTTTTTTTTTTCCTTTTTGAGTCAAGGCTTTCCTCCCTTTATTCCTTCCATAATCTTTATGTGGGAGAAGGAAGGAGAGAGGCAATGATCTTCAGATGTCTAAAATGTGCCTTTGTGGCTACCCAAGCCACCCTTCTCTCTCCACTTAAGTCTTGTGGTTTCCCCCTTTCCTAAACTTGGCCTTCCTCTGTTCATGCTGATGCTGCAGCCTGAGCGAGACCACACAGTCTGTACCCTGGAATTCATGGTGGATTTGATTTGCTGAGAAAGAACAGCAGATTCCCACAGTGTGGAGAGTCCTCATGTTTTATAGCCTGGATCTACGATACCAAGTTCCAGCCGCAGTGGGTTGGAGCGTTTTCGTACATTAAAACTGGGCCAGGATCATTCTGGTTTCTGAATGAACTACAGTCTGGTTCTCAAGCCAGAGGTGATTTTTCACTTGGACATGCTTTCATTTGCTTCAAGTCAATAGAGCAAGCTCTATCTGGCACCTAAAAGGTATAGCAAAGAGGGAAAAACATGCAAAATAATTTATTTCTAAAATTGTGCTGCAAACTTTTAGAGCTTGACGAGCCCAACTTCAGATAACAAAATGCCTTTCAATGAATGCCAAGAACGACTGTTTTTAAGGAGAATTCTGCATTTTTCTTCATGTGTAAGTCAGAAGCAGAGAAAGAAAAGTCTTGCTCTGAAACCCAAAATTCATTTTTAAAACTAACTTATGCCATTTGTTATTATTCATCATGGAACTGAATTCCACTGAGCTACATTTCTTTCTCATCTGAAGACACACACTCTCTGGGATCTGGACTCGGTGTGCAGCCTTAGAGCCGGGAGTCTCTTCTTCCAAAGCTCAGAGGCAGAATTGCCTTCGCCTTCTTAAGAGACAAAGAAGAGACCACATAGCCCCAGGGAGCAGGATCAGAATCAAATAAGATCTTTTCTAGGTTCTTCAGGCTGGAACTGACTCGAGACGTGACCAGATTTCCAGAGCGGAAACCATGATTTTTCCCAGATACTCTTCCTCCCTCTTCCTGCAGCTCTGAGCTCAGGTGGAAGCGGTGTGGTCAGCGCAGCGGGGGAAGGAGACAGGGCACACAGTGTGCTGCTCAGCACCCTGCAGGCTCATTCTTAAACTACTTTACATAACAGCTTTGGTCCTATATCCCCGAGGCCCTGGCAGTTGCATGTTGCTGGCGTGCAGGGTTCTTTTGGCCAGGGCAGCTTCAGACGGTCTCATCAGAATACCAAGGCACAGAGAAAGAGGCCTGGCCTGTCCTGACACAGCAAGTAAGTGACTAGATTAACAAAGTAGTCCTTTGTGAATCTAACATGGCTCACAGAAACACATGGCTTCTCCCGTGGCAATGTTTGAAAAACACCATTTAACTGTGAGGTAAATATGTAGGAAGTGTTACTTCCTTCACAGAAGCAGGTGGGAAGCATTTTATGTTCTAAATCCCCCAGGGCATACTATGCATGGAAAATAATAGCCAACCTTATGATATAGCCTTTATTAGGAAAACATTGCATTTCCTGCCCAGGCTGTTTTGGATAGAGAGTTGGCTGTGGGCTGAAGGGTCTCGGGTTTGATTCAGGTCACGGGCACATTCCTGGGTTGCAGGCTCCTTGAGGGCACATGCAGGAGGCAACCAATCTATTGTCTCTCTCACATCAATGTTTCTCTCTCTGGCTCTCCCCCTCCCTTCCACTCTTTCTAAAAAGCAATGGAAAAATATCCTCGGGTGAGGATTAACAAACAAAAGACCACGTTGCATTTTCACTAACACTCAATTATCACCATTTTCAGAGTATTTACACAGCAATTCCTCTTTGTGCCAGCAGTGCCCCACAACAAGCTGGCACTCCCACTGTTTTTCCCACTGGAGGAAAAGGCAGGGAAACAAAGTCTTTTGCTCAGGTAAACAAATGTTTGGCAAAATTAAGAACAAACCTAAGGGGTCCATTGATAAAAAGCTGTTTTCACTAAAGATATCCATTCTATCCACATAGGAAGGAAAAAAAAAAAAAAAGAAAGTAGTGGATTTCTGCATTGTCCTTGTTGGAGAACGGAGGCAGCAGGATGGCTGACTAATGACACTTCAGAAGGTATGAAAAGTAGTATCCCACCCCTCTTCATATAAAGTCTCACTAATTAGCTTATCTTATCAGATCTAATTTCATCTAAAAATAGTTTTCTGACTACCTTTTGAAAAGACTAGAAATAAAACAATTCTATAATTGATTAACTTGTAAACATCTTTGTTTTATATAAGAGTAAGGAGCCTAAAGGAATATCAGCAAACCAGTTTTTAAAAGAATTAAAATTACAATTGTTGCACTATAAATTTCCCTAGACAAGATTTTTATTTAAAAAAAAAAAAAAAAAAAAAAAAAGGCCAGTGGCTTCCAATTGCTTACCAGCTAAAATTTAAACTCCTTGCTCTAGTGTTGAAGGCACCAATATCTTACCTACACTTCAATCTTTTTTTTTTTTTTAATGTATTTTATTGATTTTTTACAGAGAGGAAGGGAGAGGAATAGAGCTAGAAACATCGATGAGAGAGAAACATTGACCAGCTGCCTCCTGCACACCCCCTACCGGAGATGTGCCCGCAACCAAGGTACATGCCCTTGACCGGAATCGAACCTGGGACCTTTCAGTCCTCAGACCGACGCTCTATCCACTGAGCCAAACCAGTTTCGGCTACACTTCAATCTTGCCTTAATTACTAAACTTGACAAAATCTCTGTTAGTCTTGAATTCTTGAACATGTCACCTTGTCCATGTAATCATAATAGCTCACCAGCTGGGAGGGACCTTTGCATCCTCTGCGCTTGGCTTTCCACTCACAGGCATTTATCATTTCACTGCCTTATTTGTGTGCAAGTTTAGCTACCTTATAATTGGGAAAGGCAAGGACTATTTACACACACACACACACACACACACACACACACACACACACACACCAGACACCACACACAAAGAGAGTATCTCTCTCTTCCATTGTCTAGCAAATGAAGCACTAAAAGATACCTGAAGAATCCTCGCGAGTTATTTTCATAATGCAAACACTCCTACCACAATCTGGTTTGAGTTTTGTACACCCGCTTTTATTTAAAAGTACAACCTGATTTATATGCAGTATCCGTTAAATACTACCTATACGACCCATATTGTTTCATGAGTCAGGTAACCTAGAAATGTATAAGATGGTATTTAATTTCCACTTAGTTTACAACTTACGTTGCAACAAAAGATTTATTTATAAACTTTTTCAATTTGAACCAAGAGAAAGAGACAACCCAACTATATCAATAGTGTTATGCAAAGATAGAGCATAGTCGATGAATTAAGTGACTCATTCAGTATATTTTTTCCTTTCTTTTCTGATAATTTAATAACATTATTTGCACTAAGCCGGTAAGAAAAGCAAGTGATTTTGAACAGCAGTAATCTAAAGTGAGATTTATAAGGCAGACCCGGTTGCTAAGAGACAACTCCATTGCTTTATTTTTCTTCAATATTCCCCTCCTCTATGGAGAAGTTCTTTTGGCTCAGAAGGAGCAGAAAGCGTGAAAGAGGCACAGTGGTCCTTTGTTAATCTCAATAAGTTATACGAGTGTATAGTGCTTTCTGGTTTGTGAAAGGCTTTCACATACATTTCTTCCTTTGACATAAGAAAAGGAATTAAATGCTGAAAAAGATGAAGAGTACCTAGACAGTAATGAGTTTGACTGCTACAGATCAAGGTTATTAGCAAAAATTCAGGAAAAGTAAAGACTAAAGAAAAGAAAAAAAAAAAAAAAAAGAAAACGCTAGTTTGTGCAGAGATAATAGAAGGCGAATAAAAAAAAATATAAGGCTAGAAGACACTGAGTGGAGAAGGCTACAGGATTTCAGAGAGCTAAAGAAATTTGAAATGAGACTGAAAATGGAGTGAAATGAGGGGATAATACAGCGATGAAAGAGTGTAGGGGACTAACAAAGGGGAAGCCCCGTGGCTTGGAAAGTGTTCCTTAATCAGCCCACAGCGCTGCCGAGCAGAAACACAGAGAGGGTGCTTGGGAACAAACGAGAACCCTGCAGTGGAAACTGAACAAAACGCCGCCAGGGGCTTCAGCAGAGGCATAATCCATTCATGGAACAGTCTGGCAATGCTGGGGAGCTGGTAAGAGACACCCAGGCACCTATGGAACAAAAGAAATATTTGAAGTTCAAAATAATTCTGAAATTCCTAGCCATGGCTATACACTGGTGTTTGAGTTTATAAGAGAAGTAGAATCAGAAGTAGAGACATAAAAAAACAAATCTTTACCAAGGAAGGAGGGACCTGTCTTTGAAGAACTCAGTAGCCAATGATTTGGGTGAAGACCGGAGATACCAGAAAATTCTTGATTTCTTGTGATTAACTCTGAATTACTCATTGTTTGATCAGAAGAGATCAAAGACCTAGCTATTTAGCCTGGAGATGAGAAATGCTCGCTCATTCCGTGCCTGTTTCTATGGCTCTGATGGCAGAGCTTAAAACACACCGCAGATGGGTACTCTTCACGCTCACTTGGGCTATAAGGTCACTCTTGTGTTTTCTTAACCAGGTCTCCTCACCCTTGGCGCCTTATGGCATACATATAAGTGATGATATCTGGACAGAACGCAGGTTTGCATTGTCTCAGGCTCTGATGGCTACCAAGAGGGCTAAAGGGATCTGTAG